CGAGAAGGTGGCTGCAGTTGATTCTACTCCAGAGGCATTTCGGTTGCTATCCATTAGGCTGGGAATTATAGAAGGAAGTTTAGTAATGGGGGTCGGGATGGGAATAAGAGAAACAGGTGGAAAAGAAAGAAGGAAGGCGCCAGCAGTAGCATTTTTTCGCTTATCCGTCCTGCTGTATGCAGCGGGTAAGGCAAGCCTTGATGATGTGCGCGACGGCCGACGCAGGATGAAGTTTATGTTTGGAGAAAATGTCATGGTTGTATGTGGGCTGGGATACTGCCAGGGCGCCCAGAGCTAGACAGGAGGACGATTAGGGTCCTCATCCAAAGCCTTTGGTTTAAAAGCCTGTCCGCAAGGCAGCGGAGAGGTGGCAATGATTTAGTTTTACATAAATTGACGCCATCCCATTTCAAGCCCCCAACCTGGAGGATCAGGAGACTGAGTTTTACTGATCTCTCACCATTGACCAACCTGGTAGGAGTAGCTCTCAAGGTGCCCGGAGGCATCACCCAGTATAGCTCAATGGGTCAATGAGGTACGCAAACCGTCGCACCACGTTAAGGTCCAGTCTCGTTTTGACAAGAGATAGCACCGAATAAGTTGTTTGGCTCGGGCACGTGCTACGTATACCTGGTCGTTGCTTACCTATGAGGGTCTTGTTTAGTTTGCTAGGTGTAGAGTGGCGCAAGGCTCGAGGTGGACGGAAGTTGGCTTGGCAGAAGGAAATGAAATCTCTGACGACCAAACTGGGTGCCGTTGATCCGTCTCGCCTTCCGGGCTGGAGTCCACTTGACTCGCCTTGTGTTTGGCTCGAGATTTTACAGGACATGGCTCGCAACCGACACCAGTGGCGCGTCTGTTACCGTCTCCTAATCGGATTGCCTGTTTACCAAAGCTATTGGGCCAAATGATGAATCATCGGAACGCCCAAAAGGGTATCCAAGTCGTGCTGTATAACTGTTCGGGCATTTCATGCACGTCAGTTAGATTGGGTTTGCTGTGTTCCAAAGACGTGCGGTCATTCAGACATTCGGCGACGTCCGTGTGAGCTTCACTCACATCAATGTCCAAACTGGGTTTTCGGCTAGACGACTGGAACATACGTCGTCGTACGTGTCCTACCGAGGGATTTACGGTGCACTTGCGGAGAAATGCGTGATAACATACCATATACCTGGCCAATATATGAGGTCAAGCACGATAACATTTTTCAGCGCCAGTGGCATGCTAGTACATGTCCTTACAGAGGGCAGAGTAGGTGCGTTAAGGCCGGACGATCGGGTCGGAGTCACATACGATGAGATAAATGATCGTTTGGAACAATAAGGTTCACAATGGAACAGCGAAGGCGATCACATGGAACACAGTTATCACAGGATAGGGAATGACAACCGGGGAATCACTGGATGTGTAACATGATAATGCATCATAAAAACCGCTCTGAATTGCTGGAACTCATTGGGCTGCGATATAGAAGCAAATGTTGGTAGCTCAGGTTGTTCAGTTAGTGGTCTGCGTGTTCGTTTAGCTCGTACCGCGCCGCTCTGCTAACTAAACGCGCGCTGACGATGTCACCCCGGGTAGTGACGAAACGTTTGCAGTCAAACTGCCGAGTTCAGGGAACACTCAGACCACGAACTCATTGAGCGTCGAATGCGCCGTATATTCGACTTGATCGTAACTATGTTTGTCGGTTTAGTGATGTTGAAGAAGATATAGAAAAGGCGACATTCTTCGCCGAGAGCAATAGGTTACAGTATTTTGTGAAAGGGTTGAGGAAAGGAAAAATTCCATGGACATTTAGAGCTTTTAAGCGGCATACTTAAATATAACCGCGGTGAATCTGCACCGCAAATTGGTATGCTGTTGCGAATCTTTCTTACCCCAGGCTATCATCATTGCCATCGGTGAGCGCTCCTTCTCAACACCGAAGCTTACACAGAACTACCTTCGGTCAGCTATGAACCCGAAAACGCTCACGGACTTGGTCACTATCTCCATAAAGAAGAGGCTTGGTCGATGGACCGAATTTGACTGGGTTATTGGTAGTGTTCGTACCACGTGTGTTTGCAAATTTTGTGCACGAGCATTGTAACAAGTAACAAATGCAACGCGACAAATGCGACGCGACCACGCGCACTATTAGCGTTGGGCGCCACAGTGTTCCCCCGAATGTAGAACTGGCAATTTCTAGCAGCGTATAAAGTGCACCCTGACAGGACATCACAATAGCGTAAGTATTAACACTCGTTCACTTACCGTTAGCTTACTGTCCGCGCAATGAGTTGCATATCAATTACTTTTGGTGCATCAATCCCTTGTGGATTTTTTGATGTCTTTCTATAACTTTTAGTATTTCGGTAATTCACTTTGCATACGTTCTAGTTTTCGGAATTCTGAAACCCTATCTGCATTGTCTAAGGTCTTTCCTGAACGAGTAAGGCGCGATGCACACCAGTACGAAGTAGACGATACGCTACAAATATCACTCACGCAAGTCTCATTGGAAGCTAGTCCCATTTTATTGCCTAACGCTGGACACCAGCTATCGCTGCAACCCCCATACAAATGTATAACCTTACGTACGTGCATGCGTATTTCGCCCAGACTTTGAATTGCCTCGTGTCCCTACTCGCTCCTAATGGTATACGCTTACAACCAGATGTCTAAAGTGATGAGGTGGAAATGTAGTCAAAGCACGTCATATTTTCTTCAACCAATCAGGAAAAGGTCCACGGATGTGCCGAATCGTATTACCACATCCCGCAACACTGATCTCACTGGTTGCTGTTCTGGCAATGTGTTCCAGAAACTGCAACCTCCATTCCATATACGTCATGAGGTTTTGGGGATCTCCGTCCAGAAGTTCATCGTACTGCACTCGCATTTCATTCTTCACTCGGTTCTTCAGCACTTGCTAAACATTTTCGATGGGATTGAGGAACGGGGAGTATGGGTTCAATCTCAGAATGGCAACCTCTTCGTATCATTCGACTGACGCAAGTACTTACAAACGTGGTGGTACAAATATGGTGCATTGTCACCCAATACGAGCACCTGCCGGAGCTCCACTCCTCGCTTCAGTTTGTCTAAAATGCCTCTCAGCCATTCGAGAGATAGGGGGCCAGTGAATGAGCCTCTCCGGATAGGCATCGAAACGTTTTCATCCATTTTGAGTGCACCGATACGATGCAAATTCAGGCCTCTACTGTTTGACACAGGCCCTCACTCCTCTGGGCGCCCGACCACGAATACGTCTGCAGTAAACTTTGAAGTTTGCTTCGTCGATCCATATGAAGAACTTCCTCTCACATTCGAGAAACGTTTGAACAAACTCCTTTCGTATCTCTTCGGTTCGATCAATGTTCGTTCATTCTGAAGTATGATAGATGCTCTTTATAGTTATCAAGACGGCCATTAAGGTGTCGTGCGATTGTAGACTTTGAAATGTTCTTATCCATATTGGAAAGTACTCGGACTCGCATTCCTTGTAGTGGTAGAGTTGCGTCTTTCGCGATCCACTCCAGGATGTCATCAATCTCTTCCTCCAACAGAATGCGCTTACGACCACGCGCCTGCGTAGTATCCTGCTTCTGAACAAGAAAGCGACGAATCCAGGAGTAGGCAGTTTGATATTTTACATTGTTCACCGTTGCCACGAGCTGTCAGTCGTCACCGTTGACGAAGGCATCCACAACTTGGCCACGAATGTTTGACGAGATAATCTCTTAAACATGAGAAGGCATGTTGACCACGCTGTAATGAAAGACATCTATTCAGTCGTACAGTTATGTTGCGGCCGTTCAATGCTCGCAGACCAATTGTGATCCAGCGTTTCGGACGTTAGGGGGCGCATAATAACTCGTTGCGCCGCATATGTCCAGGGACTCGATATTAATTCACAAGTCTCACCTAGTCAATGGACAGCGCGCTCACTTCACTTGACTTACGCATCAAACCCTAGCACCCGGCCAATGAGAACACACTTGAGGTCAGAGGATTGGCTCAGAGCGGCTGGCGAATCGCACAGGGTTTTGCAAAATTTTGCACCTTTGCAAAATTTTGCGTTTTCTTGGATAATTTGTAATTTTTTGCTAGTGCGGGAATTCTATGTTCTCACTATTTCGGGCCATATAGGATTCGTTGCACTCGAGTTTTAAGGCGACAAGATCAGTTTGTCACTCGTGGCGCTCCTATGTATTTCTTGCCGGTAATTTCCATAGCTTCGATCATCCGCTTTTGCCCGCTTTTCTCGTAAGCTTGCAATTGTATCTGACAGTCGTTAGAGTGTAGGTTAAGGCATGCATTTTCTCAGGTGAAAGAGGGACTGGTAGGGGAAGAATAAGGAAGTGGGGGGGGGGTCTGCAATTGGTTGTCTTCGCTTGTCCACCCCACTGTATGTAGCAAATAAGGCAAACGTTTTTCTGGTGTCACTGAATGACAGACGACGAAGCATGAGATTATATGAATTGATGTACTTCATGAACTCATATAACGCCAGGGTTTCCACATCTAGGTCTCAGCTAAAACCATCGATAAAATATACTCACGAAAATCAGCGGGGAATGCGCCATTAGTCGCTGAACGGACTAACACAGTAGTGTCCTGGCTCTTAGCTAGAAGTAGTGTAACCCAACTCTGGCTCGGCGGTCACCTCCCGGAGACGTCCAGGACATGGATCCACTGCAGAACTAGAGCAGCAGCGAGCCATGTACTCTTCTGTGCTAGGCTGTTTAACCGTGTCTTCGTGTTCGGGTGTCAACACTGGGGATGAACATTGCGGTGGATGGATTTACTGGTGCGTATGTACGCTTAGCCATATTTAACCTATTACACACAAAAATAGCTTCTGTGGTCTTTTTCTCGAACGAAGGTTTTTGTCTTCCTTTTTTTAGGTCGCTTTGATGTCAGATGCGGACGAGGAGCGTCAGAATGAACTGATGGCATTAGAATCTATTTATGAGGACAAATTGAGAATACTTCGAAACGACGGACTTCAGAGGTTTGAAGTCTGCCTCCTGGGACGTGGCGAAGCGGATGCCGCTGTTTCGTGCGAATGCACTATCGTTTTCGAATACACTGAACGATATCCTCACGAAAAGCCCATTTACGATATTTGCAATGTCAAAGGGCTCACATCGGATCAAGTAGGAGAACTGCATCGTTCGCTTGATTCGGTGGCGCAACGTTCCCTCGGATACATAATGATATTTGATATGCTTTCAGAAGTACAAGAACGGTTGAATTTTACGTGCGAACGGTCGGCTAGCGATGCAAGCCAAGGCAGATGAAGCTAAACGAAAGGCACTGGAGTTAGAAGAAGAGGCCAGACTCCTTGGTGATCGAGTCACGGTTGAATCGTTTATGGAATGGAACGAGAAATTCAAAGCTGAAATGGCATCTTTGAAGGAAAAAGTGGAAGTCGATGAGAACGTAACAAAACGGTTGACTGGGCCGTGAATTATTTTTACAGGATAATCGTTATGATGATTCGGACGTTGCATTTTTTGGCGGAAAATGGTGAGGCTATCGAGATCGATGATCACCTCTTCGCCGACATTGCTGATCTCGATTTATCTGATGATTCCCTAGGGGACAGTGAACCAACTCCCATTCGAGCATGACTTGTACATTATTATTACCTCAGATCCACTTCTCCAATGTCTTTGCTGAAATCTTCATTTTTTGCTTAAAACACTTGTGTTCTGTTCCATGATTTGGCTTTCCATTTTTTGACGATGAATTTGTCCTGATCTGGTCCAGAACTATATGGTCAGTAACCTGCCAGTAGTGATATTCTTTATTATTTCCCCCAAAATCAATTGACCCGTTGTTTACTAGCTTTTGCTGGGTATCGTCCGCAATTCTATAGATCGAAACATAACTGGGACTGGTGGAGTGATTTATAGCGTTGGGAGCTCTTCCGACCTTTCCATGCACAATTTCATCCCATTGGCAGGTGCAGAAGCCACTATAGGGATTCTATTGCGGAGCTCGCATATCTCCGCGAAACTTGCATAGAATTTTGTGAGGCTCACCTCAGACTATACTCACCATGCGGTAACTCTGACTGCGTTAGTAACAACCGAGCCTTCCCCAGGACATTGATGCCAACCAAAGGTGAACCAACTGGGCTCTATTCAGGACACTGATGCATTTACTGTGTAAGCTGTGGTATCTATCGTATCAGGCAGTAGCACCCATCTGAGCTCCTCAACTGCTGCGGCAGTTACCGCACAAATCCATACTGTCACTAACTGAGTTTCCCTCATGACACTATCACTGAGTGACAACGGTCGTGCCTTACCAACATCCACCTTTATGGGTGATGCATCACACTGCTATTATTATCGAGCTATAAATATAAAGGTGTAAAAGGCATACTTCGTCTTGGCTGAGTCAGCAAACGAACTGTTGCTAACGGCCAGCCTTCCTCGTCTGGGTCTCAGTTCAGTCGTGCTAGGTTGCATCTTTTCGTCTCCAAATCCGATTGGCTACTCTGCTCGCGTGGGATACTAAGTGTGAAGAAAGTTCGTCCGTTCCGACTAAGAGTGGAAACAACTAGGACGCTTTATCACAAATTCGCTCTAAGTATTAGTCAAGGGTATTTTCTCTGATTCATTCTTAAAATGGTTTGTCGGTATAGCATGCGCATCCGACCGAAGCGTTTGTGTTCCCTTAATTCTATCTTATATGGCCTGTTGTGCATCTATCGAAGAAAGTGTGCTTTGTTTTATTCGACAATAGATTTTAGTGAACCGTAGTGCATTCCTGAGTTGATTTAAGGGAACACGCTGTGTGGTTGGGTTGCGACTCACAGCTTCTGTTGAGACCAATTCAAAGTTGTATTTAGCGAAAACGCTGTGTTTGGGTTGCGACTAGCAACATCTATGGAGACCGGTTCACCTTGAGGTAAACCTCCGTCATTCCGATCGCGAGGACCGTATCCGGAATGAAGATATTTGGGTATTGGGAGGAGCAGCACCCAAATGTATCACATTCCGTTTCCCTGCCACCTACCAGGTTAAATCAGAGGGTACCCATTGTTGCATTAAGTCGTCTAAATCTACCATTTACTGATTGGAGACTTGACGTGATCGGTTTTATGAAACTACATTGTTTGTCTGTAAAGTTGTTGCTTTATTAAAACAGTTTTTAATCTATGCACAGTTGGACTTCTGTGACATGTGTATCAGCAAAACCCTTAGAGTATATGCGCTGTGCCTTCACTGATTGCCGAGATCGCTAGGGCTCGCGAGTACGTTTATATTCATCTTCCGCCGACACACGGAACTTCCTGGGGCTCAACTACTGCTATCAACCTGTCCACTATTGTGCGTTGGGTATGTCACCTCGATTGGTGGCGAAAACGTCCGCGACAAATCAGCACCTCCATGCTGGTATATATGGTTGGCAGCATCCGGTTCCGAATTCGCCTGCCACTACAACCTCTATAGGACAGCCACAGAACGCCTGCGCCTGCAGAGGGTCATAGATGGTTTATACTGCACTACCCACGGCTCCATCCACACACCCCAAATCCAGGGTAAACTCGAAGGAATAAGACCGGGAGGCATGTGGATTGGAGCCAAGTTTCATCAACGGAACTGGTCCACACCCCATCTACACTCACAGCAACAGTATTGATGCCCAAATGAGGAATCATGCGATAGATGGAACCACTGTTTGAACCCAGCATGGCGACGACGGCCATACACCCCGTCTCTACGAAGAACGTCCAGCTATCTCCTCGAGCTATTATAAACCGAGGTAGCCGGTTTTCGTCAGACAAACACATTGTCAACAATTACATCAAGTGCAGTCACACAGAGGATACCACTCCAGCCAACACCTGAAATGCAAGAATATCAACACGCGCCACGTACAGACCAAATGCGACGATGAGATAGCACAATTGTCTCGTCGACCGCATTACTGGTCTGGGTTGGTAAATGGAATTGAATCCGAAGCGCTGTTTTGATGATGATTACCTTAATAAATGACTCGCTACCTAGTTGATATTGGGCCCCACCTACCGATGCTGGTGGCTTAACAGATCAACATGGATATTCCGCGTACTGTGTATAGTCAAACAGTAGAGTAACATGGTCGCTGCAACCCAGGGGCTTGCTTGTAACTATCCCCTCGACCATAGGTTCTTCGTCGACGAACACAAGATAAAATATCGACAGCCTATTAGCATTTCGAAATCTGGTAAGAGAAGTCATCTGGTTGCGCGAAAGGGTAGCTGGAAATCAGATCTCGCAACCAGGCTTTAAACTGTATGCAATCGGTTCTTGGCATTTATGGGCCATGCACATTAGAGTCTTCCGTGATGAGAACATAAACTATATGACTTGTTCAGCGCAACCTTCGAAACGTGATTCAGTTTGGAGTCAATTCCCGACGTAGGGTTTGGTGGACGATAAATTACGGCTAGTAGAAATGTGTCCTCATTCCGCAGCCATAGCCGGCGCGAAACTGAATTAGAGGCGCTGATTTCTGGCTGATCACTAAGTTTCATTTCTACCGTTCCGAAGCAGCGATTTACCAGGCAAATTGATCTCAAAATCAGTTATCTGTAGGCTCAGGCATTTCTCTCAATCATGATGAAGTCCAGTGGTTGTGAGGCGTGGCGCCCTCTAAGTTCGGCCAACTTAATAAGGGCTTCGGCGTTAGTGTACAAACGGTAATATTTTTGACGTTATGAGTTCATTGGTGAATATCAAATCCTAGTGTTGTTTTGAGCTGCCCGTTAGGTGACGGGCAGCTAATCAATTTTTTGGCGGCTCGTTGGTTAGCGAGTTTCTGTCGGGCTGTATGGCCTCCCAGAGCGTTCCAGATCAGGTTCTCTCATGCTTCGGTCTATCCTGTCGAGGTGCCATTGTGACGGACTCTGCGCAGGACTGTGGAGACAAAGAATTTGCTAACTACTCGTCGCTGTGCGCCTGCTGCTTTTAGCCGGATCTCGGCTGGCAACCTGATGCGAAACTTCAGCTAGTTGTCCAACTGGAATTGTGTCATTCCTTCGGAGTGTAGCACCACTTTTATTAATCTTGGACCTCAGCTCTTGTAGTTAAGTGATAAAGGAATCCCCACCAACGATTTAGCACTAACATCGTCTAGAGTGAGTGCTTCGCGGATTTAGCACAACTGCTCTCGATTGTGTTCGCACTTCATGATCAGAAGAATCCGGGAGCTCTGGAACACTATGAACAAACATGGTTTTCTTGCGATCGCTTTTAAGTGGGCAACCTTGGTTGTGCGTTTCCTTTGGGAGATCTTCCCAAGGAAGATCGGGCGATATGTGCACCTCGCTCAGTGAGTTACAAAGACGAACTGCTGAGAGTAGGACGATCTCTGTCTCATTTGCTGAGTTTGGTGTTACTCGAAGAATATGAGACTCACCGTAATGCACTGAAGTTGTGTAACGCACCACGCGTCTCAGCATAGTGGGCTTAGCCTGAATACCAAGCGCATCGCAGATGGAATTCCACTGTTTACGATCATCTAACAGCTTGCCATTTATAGTGCAAGATTTTGACTAGTGAGCAATTACCGCACACGAGTTAACGCACTGTGGTTTTGTGAGGCGAATACCGGGTTGAGCGTTGCTTCTGGTTATTTTGATCGTTTGGAAGGTGCCACTGGGGACGACGGTGAAAGCTGCGTCGCACCGCTAGTGCTCGGTGCAGAAGATGGACATGCAAGTGTTACTCTCCGGATGTTTATCGGTGACCGATACGTACAATACACGTTTTCTCACTGTACTGGATTGCCTCCAGCACTGAGTTTCCGGTGTCAACCAAATCGTTAGGCGAAGGCTCTATTGATGGGATAAAAGCAGTTACGTCGAATGTGACTTGCCCGTCTAGGTGGTTAGGATCTGTTAGAGTAAATGGCGCGTATACTGTGTGGCGGTTAGCAAGCCTGTCTCTACTCCATCCATACCGCATCATGTGTGACTAGGCTCTTTAACGCGCCTTGTAGTGGATGGATATCAGCGACGGGCGAATGTAATCGACAACCACAAATTGAATGGTAACTTCCTTAGAAATGGTCCTGTATACTTTATTCTGGGATCAGCGGCTAGATCGGAGAATCCTTTATCGAACGCATTTTCGCGGATGTGAGAGTTGTTGAAGAATAATAACATATGAATCTGGGCACATGACGTGCTAAAACAGCTTGGGTTACAGGAATTATGATCCGCAGAGAATAGTTCCGTAAGGGATGACCGCTGAATACCAAGTTAATCCGAATCGAATAAGTGTATGACGACTGCGCTGTG